AAAAAAAAAAAATTTCCGAAAATTCCGAAGTGTAAAAAAGGTAAATTATACATCGTTCACACTGAGGCAAAATTAGTGGTTTGCAGTAAGTTAAGAAAGAACAAATAGAGGGAAAACAATATTTGAATCAAATCGTTAGAAAAAAGATAATTATTACTCGTATGGGGTGAGTAACAAATCAACAGGCAAATCCCCGATATTATTGATGTATCTTCGCTGATAAACAGGGCTAGAAGTTATTCGTGAAATTTCCTCCCGGTAAGACCTGAAATATTGGGCTGCCACTTCACTCCAAACGGGAAAATAAAAAAATTTTAAAGCTACTAACAGTTTGAAAAGAAAAAAAAAAACAAAGTACGGTTAGAAATCCAAAATGAACTCTTTGTGTCATTAACCAATTTTTAAAATGTACACTTCATCGGCTTGCGATGGTGATGAAGGAGGACAGTTAAACTGCTTTAAAATTTTAGTCAGTCCAACGGCTTCAGTTCTGGCATTTTCAGCAAACGAATAGCTGACCAGGGCAAATCTAGAATTAAAAAATATAGTGAATCAGAAAGTTCAGAAACTATAACTTCTACTCCGCTCAAGAATTGAGTTGAAAAGCGATAGATCAAATTAGTTACCTGTAGTAAGACTTGTCTGCTCTCATCACCTGCCAAATAATTTTTTTAAGTGATCCTTTTGGGACTGCACAGGGATGTACATATTTTCTTCGTATGACACAATGGTCATGTTGCTCTCCAAAGCACTGCCTGCCTTCCTTATCAAAAAAAAATTTGTTTAAACGGCTTTCCTTCGACTCCCAATCACCTGCATGAGCAAAAAATTTCAAGTTACCTTCACTGTGAGCTTTCATAGAAAAAGTAGAGGCGGTTTAAAGTGAAAATGATTCTTAACTCTGTTAAACTAACCGAGATTATCTGTGCTTAACGGCCAATCGCGATTAGTATCAACGATGAAAGACACTCGAAGAGCGGAACCCGTTAGTTCCAAACAAGGTAACTTTTCATTAATAAAACTTTCTTCAATGCTAAAACACTCATATTTAATTTTAGTGGCATACTACCAGACACAGATACCACTCAGTAAGAGAAATAAAAAAAATTTCTAGAAAATGCAAGAGTTGATAAATTGAAGTTTCAGAAAGAAACGAGCAATATATAATCGAATAGCCGTAATTTAAAATAGAAAATGAGTTCAAAACGAATCCAACTTAAAAAACTGCTATACAAGCAGTATTTCACTCCACATTAAGTCGTTCAGATTACTTCTACCTTTCTATTTAGGACAACAATTAGGGCAATAAAAATTCGAAGAAAAAATTATCAGAAAAAAATTAGTTCATTACCTATCAACATTTCTCAGGATATTTACCGGAACATCAGCCAATGAATCAACAAAGGTCCGTGTGTACGGAACACTGGAAGTTGACTGTGCAATTCTTTTGGCCATTTGCCTAAGGACGCTTTATAGAACAACTATGAGGGGGAAACACTAATAAGAAAAAACAAGAGCCCGAAAGGCAGTAATAACCGTTAATTAAAGTGAACTTACTCATCTGTTATTTCTTCTGTAAAAAGATCAGCTTCATATTTGCTTTCTGATAAATCATCTACATTAACCTCGGAACTCTCGGAAGCATCAGATGTTGTACCGTCAATAACATCCACCTGTAAAAATATCGGTACTGTGCAATTTTCGACTACAGTGTAACTGAATGCAGGAAATTAGCACTAGAAATAAATTTCAAAGAATTCAAAACAAAATTCTTTCCAAAAACGTTATTAAATTATTACAGAAGGTCTAACTAAAACTATTCATATTCACAAAGGAAAGTATTAAAAACGTGTAAAACTGTTTCATAAAGAAAGAAGAAAATACATCTGCTTCCGATAACGCTAGAGAGATTGGGTCAGAGGGTTTTATTCCAGAACTGTTCGAGCCCTTTAGAACAGCCTTTTTTGTCCTCCTTTTGACTTCACTGGGTCGTTTTCTAATGTACACATTTTGATTGAATTTGGAGTTGCCGTGCGGCATAAGTGGAACATAGGCTTCTGGCTCAATATAATATGACATCAGCGCATACCTAAAAATTCACGAGAGCAGAATTACAAAAAAACTACCTCTCATACAAGAGTAATTACGAAGCCACTTTGGTACAGAAATATACAGATAAATGCCTATCAATATTACCCTAATCTTTATTTTAAAAAACAGACCGACAAAATCTATCGCCTTTCTGAGCAAGCCATATGACCTTACGAACAGAATCTGGAGGATTGCAATGGGGATGAACATACTTCCGACGAAGCACACAAAAATCGTGCTCTCCTTCCGCACATTTCGACTTCTGTTTGTAATAAAATTTACGTACATTCATCCTTCGTCCATCTTTTGAATTCCACTGTCCTATTTTCAGATTGAGTAGATCATTAACAAATAAAAAAGTTAAACACAAATTTTCTGACAAAACGAAACAACAGTCTTGCAACAATAATAAAGAACAGCACAGAATTCAACTTACTCACACGATTAAAAAAACCCTGAAATCCTTTAATGAACCAAAATTTTAACCATAGCTGATACCTAAATTGTCTGAGCTCAAATCAGAAGCTGGTACTTCATTCGTATCTACTATAAATGTCAGTAACGCACCAGCACCATATAAAATGAGTTTAGGCACGAAGTTGCAGACTGGATAAGACGTATCCAAACTAAATGCCCAGCAGTTTGAAAAGAATAATTCGAACAAAACGGAAGTAAACATTTGGAGATTCAAAATAAAATAGAATAAATTAATGGAAAGATTTATCAACTGAGGAAATACCTAGCTTCTAAAAGAATATCGAGCGGAACATCACTGATGGAATTGAGAAAAACCTGTTTGAATACAGGAGCATTGGTGATGTGTGTTAGTTCTCTGAAAGAAAATTAATAGTTGCTTGCAAATGGTGCGCACAAAGCACTCCCCATTTAGGGCCAACAGTGAAAAATGTTACTGAAAACTTACTCGCTGCTTAGAAGAGGAATAACGGGATCGAAACCACGCACTCGGGTAAAGTTTGTTTCCTTCTCAACAACCGGAAAGTCACCATCTCTTCTAATCTGGTCATAAGCTACGTTCTTAGATTCCTAAAGAAATGTTACTAAGGATGGACTATCGTATCTCAAAGAAACTCAAATCATTAAATCTTCTACAGTAATTTTACAGTACAAATGCGCCTAATTAATTATATAGCACCTTACAGAGCCTAATTTACTACTGTGTCAGAAAGCGACCAAAAATTTGTTATTACAAGTTTCAGAGTGAACCGATGGCATGAAAAATAGGTTAGAAATTATAAAATCTCTATCGCATAAGTAAATAATTATTGTTCTCAAGATTAAAATCAAGTAAAAAAGTTCGAGAAACTACACGCAACATTTATTCCTATTTTAGATGTAAATATACGTAGATGACAAAGGCAATACCTCAGTATCTAATGAACGACAATTCCGATGGCGGTTTAGGGGCTGTAGCCGAAGAGATCTGACGCTCGAGTGCTCTAAAGGAAAAGAATCATTCAATTCTCTCTTCACTACAAAATTACTGTATGTCTGGTCATCGTTCGCAACAATACCGCCAGCAATGTCATACGTCAGCAATCCATACCTAAACAATCAAATTTGCAGAACGAAAAACCTACAGTAACCTCAAAATAACCTGTTTTACTCTTTAAAGCTGTAACTGTGAGAATTTCACAATTTGACACCAAAAGACAAGTAGCTCCAAAAAGAAACTTGCTATTCCGCTCCAAATGCCAAACTAAAAACTCTAAGAAATTTGAAAACCTCAGGTTTTATTTTTGAGCAGTGACTTCTCTAGGGAAAAAAAATGAACCAAGAATGAACCGGCAAAAACTTCCTAAAAATAAAAAAAATCTTGAACAAACTTATAAAAACATTTATTGTAATTTATCTAAGCCACAAAGCACGTTTCACACCTGTACATGGCATCGTCTTTCGTTACCAGCCAGAAGATTTTCCTTATAGAATTAGGGGGGCTACTAGACGGATGTAAATAAGTCTTCCTTTGCAAACAAAATTCATGATTTTCGGGAGAACATTTAACTTTATCTTTATTAAAAAAGAACTTCGTCAAAGCAACTCGAGAAACACCACGCGCACTCCACGGTCCTAAACAAGATAATTTTGACGTACATATTAAAATTTCGTGAAGAAGGTGCAGAGCAAAAAATCCATGACAATAAAAAATCAATATAGCTCATTGTAGAGCCGTAAACCGTGTAATTCAAAAAAATCCTTTACCTCACATCATACATGTAAATTATCTAAAAAACTGTAACTGTAAGGGTAACATACCAAGACCATCAGCATTAATCTCTCCAATTTCTATTTTTGTTGTATCAATTATAAAAGAAAAAGAAGCAGGGTGGCCCAAAATGTGGATTTGCGGAACCGTGTCACAAACAGGAATATCCAAGCTGAATTTTGGAGGTTTAGTAGCTTTTCTTCGCAGAAAAGAAATAATTCTTCCACTCATCAGGGTTATATTGAATTAATATTTACAAACGAAATGAAAGATAATAAAGCTGATCTTAAAAACACATATATGACAGAAATAACCTTCCAGGCTGAACCAAGAGAGCTATAGGAACTTCGGAAACCGAGCTAATAAATTTTAATTGGTAAACTGGAGATGAAGTCATACGGCTAACGATACTTTCCTCATCACTAAAAGTTGAGCTGCATTAAATTATGCAGACAAGTGCATAAAATTAACATAGAAAATTAACATCCTACACCAAAAATAAGACAAGAAAGTATTACTCTTCTTGTTGATAATGAAAAGTTTTCCGAGGAACAAGTACAATGGGAGTTTTCCTGTTGCCATAGCGTGAATAACGGATAGGTGTATGTGCCCATGTTGATGATAAATACGATCCTTCATCACCTCGCTCTTTATACGTCCCAGGTGAGAAACGTCGCCTTTAAAAACTTTGAATTAAAACCACTAACAATTAACGATAGGTGCTTTCTCAACGTACTGACAAGTAAACACCAAAAAACGACAGTCCGCTTCATCACTTATAGCCTTACATGTGCACTCCTGTACCATATAAAGACCGTTATTAGGAACAACAAAACCGGTTAACTTTTTTCAATAACGAAATTCCAATGCTACTATGAAATTATACCTAGCCATATGGCTCCCCAAATTAACTGTGGTGCTCCGAATTTGTTCAGCACTCGATGTTGAAGCAACCTGATCGTGGTAGAAATTATGACGATTTGCTAAAGTACCATCAGTGAAAGTTCCCCCAGTATCGTGAAAGGCAGCATCAATTGCTCCCACTGCCACATCTTTGTCTTTAAAGAAGCCTGTAAAACCATATGATAAAAAAGAATTTATTTTTCAACTTGTATAGCTCAAATACAAACTGGTTCCTACAGAGCAGCCGCACTTAAAACCATGTAGAGACCAAAACCAGTGATAATAAAAAGAATCACCCAAGTTTCCACGTGTTAGCGAACCACTAGCAATGAAAATTTTATCGCTTCTACATCCAACAAAAAACACAACAATTTCCACATTTTCAAAACTGACAGATGACATTCTTTTCATTAAAAAAATATATGGTCTGGCGATCCGAATATTACAAAAATGATAAAATATATAGAAGAACAAACTTTCAAAGGTCTAAATCCCAGTAAACTTTGGCGCCAGAGTTAATAGATCCAGTTATCATTTTAAAAAATAACATCTAACTCCAGTTGAGACGCTGTAAACAAAGATCTAAAAATAAACACAACAAAACCTAACGTGGGCACATAGCATGACGTCCACCATCTACTGGAATGGAAGCACCAGTAATAAATGAAGATGCATCAGATGCCAAGAATGCAATTGTATTTGCCACTTCATCTGGATCACCAACTCGTCCCAAAGCGTGCGTTTCTTTTGAATGTTCCAGAAAATCAGCATATTCTGCATCATTCATGCCACCACGTTTATGAAGATCCGTTTTGGTTACGCCAGGACTAAAAAGTAAAACTTGTAGAAATAATGACGAACGATAAAAAGAAATTGTGCTGAAAAAATGTTAATCAGATAGAAACTCAAAGATTACTTTACTGAATTGACACGGACTCCTTTCGAAGCGAGTTCTAGAGCAATGCATCTTGTTAGCTGATCAACACCAGCTTTTGATATATTGTAAGCAAGAACACCAGGAAACTGGAGTGAAAAAAATATATCAAACTTCTTCTTTGAAAAAAAAAAAAAATAATAATAATACGTTAACTTACAGATCGTATGCCATTAACGCTTGATACGTTTACAATAACTCCTTTTGATGAGGTTAGCTGAGGAGTTAGCAGATGAGTCAAGTAAAAAATTGACCTCAAATTTACATTCATAACCCTATCAAACTGTTCCAGGGTCGTATTCTCAATAGTTCCTTTCTCAAGAATTCCAGCATTATTCACCTGAAAAGAAGCATATCAAATTAAAAGAACAAATTAACAAGGAAGGGCCAGAACTAACCAGAATATCTATCCTGCCAAACTTATTAATCGCTGCATCAGCCAATGATTTAATGTCTTCTTCTTTATTCAGATCCGCAGGAAATGTGAATGCTTCCGCCTAAAAACATTCCAATAGCTAAAGAAATAAATGCTTTGGAAAGAAAAAAGCTTCAAAGGAGCACAAAATATAGTTACATCTTTATTCTTAAGACTTTCTTGCACAAGCATATCCAGTTTCTCCTTAACACGACCAGTAATAACCAACGAAGCACCAAGTTTGTTAAACAGAATTGCCGTTGAGCGCCCAATACCCGAAGTAGCTCCTAAAAAAATTTGTCATAATTTAACGGCAATGAAACAAAGCTTGAAATAAAGAAGTAGAAAAAATTTAATATAGAATGATCAATAACCTGTCTATGGCAAATGGAAAGAAAAAACCCCGTAAGAAGTTCGCACTAACAAGAAGTCGAAAGCAACAAAAAAAAGAAACTTAGTAATTTCCGATAACGATATGCGTCCAGTTAACTTAAGATAACCCTGTTTATTAAAATGATACTAATCAACAAGAGCTAGGCACCAAGACCAACAGCAAGAAAAAACCCTTGAAACGGTTCAAAAGATTATGCTCTACGTAAGCACCGCAGCATCAATTGCTTAGAGCACCTAACATTAGCTCCTTGCCAACGTCCTTGAAAAAAAAAAGAACAGAAAAATAATGATGAAAAAATAATTATTATTATAACTCTAACCGGTAATCAGAGCGACTTTGCCGTTCAGGTTTACCAACGGTGTTCCCATCCTGAATCAGAATACACAAAAATAAATGTAATTTTAAGGCACATATAATATCACGTAGCAAAAGAAA